GAACTAGATGTTCTCTGAGATCCTTGCCAAGTTGCTAATCTGTTACAATATTTCAGTTACTCCTAAAACAAATCTTTCTTTTCCTTGGTAACAAAAAGCTGCATATCCAGGACTCCAGGAGAGGTGTCCCTTAGCAATTCCACAAATTTCAGCTTATTTTCTAGATGTTCCTCCCTTGCGTTTTACTATTCACCTATAAAACATGTAGATGCTTACATCCCCATGGACACAAAGATGGGTCCATATGGCATAGTGATCTTATTGCCTCTATCCTGACCACATTTGTAATTCCCTAAAGCTCCTCCCAAAACGTGGTATTAAGGCCAAGGAGCACCCATCCTCCTTCTGGAGGACTAGCCCATACTTAGGCCTTTGAAAATTCGGACTCAGAGAGGCCAAGTGATTCTCCTAGTGCCACACAGCTCAGTTCTCCACGGAGTATTCCCTTAGCGGAAGACCCTGGGTACAGAATGAGGAGCAAAGGAGCCAATGCCTTCCCCGATAGGGTGGCCAGACCTACCCTATCAAGCAGAAATAGCCCCACACACCTGTACCCACCCCCTGCTCCACCACACTTCAGCCCACCACTGTCACGCCTCTGCAACCGTCCCCAACTCCCCCACAAACCCCGACTCCTCCCACCAGTTATAATAGCCTTTGCCGGTTCCCCACCAGTCCCCTGTTCCCTCTCCACGAGGGACTCCCACGAGAGACTCCCACCCAAGCCCTCTATCCACCCATCCCGGTGCACCTCCCTCCCCTCACCACCACGTTGGCAGGCGTGCAGAGCAGGTCTCCCATTGCTGTACGGCATCCAGATCTTCTTCAGTGGGTTCTGGGTCAGTTCCCGTGGGGACGCCATCCCCGGGCCGAGACTAGTCGGACTGCGCCGCTGAGGACCCAACAGCCAAGCCACCTCCGGCCACCCGAGGTCCCGCCCCCCAGGCCCCGCCCCTCTTCGAGCCGCGACAACGCTTTTCAGTCTTCCCTCGGGTCCCGCCCCTAAATGAATAAGCTCCACCCTAACAGAAGGACCAGGCTCCGACTACGCATGCCCACCTTTCCAACAGTCCTTTTTTTTTTGGACCAAGCACGCCCCGTCCTTTCGGTCAGGATCGAGAATACGCATGCTCAATTTCCACCAGGCCCAATGCCCGGATTATGCAGGCCCCGCCCCGGATGCGCGAGCCTATCACGCTCTGCTGATTTCTGTGGGTCTCCCTGACCCCTCTCAGAGAATTTAAGCCCCGCCTCCACGGCAAGCAGGGCTTCCGCTTCCTGCTGAGCTTGACCTCCAGTCCCCTAGGAGGGAAGTGTTTGCGCGCAGTACAGCGAGGCTTGCGTGATCTGAAGGGCCGGGTTAATCTGAACAAGCCTGGCGGCTCCCGCGGGACTCCAACTCCTGGTCCGCTGTCCCTGCCATTAATTGCCCCGCCCTCCTGGTCCTGCGCTGAACCACCTAGTTTGGCTCGAGCCTTGAGATTCTCCCCGGTCCATAAAACCAACCTGCTCCTCGCCGCAGGAAGAGCTCCTTTATCCTATGCACAGAGACACATGACAGATCTCAGGATCGATGGAGTTTCTCTCTTGGTTTTGGCTATTGGGGAGCACAAACTAAACTCCTGCCCTCCTAGAGCAAATGCGCAGGATCTTGTGACTGAGTTATTTGAGGATTCACTAAACCCTGGCCACATCTTAATTCTCTTGCCAGGATTTCATTTTTACCAATTAAATTTTCATCGTAAGTTTATGCATTTTTAAAATAATTTAAATAGCTTCTTCCTCTTCATCAGGAAAATGGGTGCGCTGGTCATTAGTCTTAAGAGATTGTGGTGTAGATTAAATGTGATGTGTCAAATCATTCTGAGAAATCTGTTCCAAAACAAATTAGTGTTCTGATTCAGTATATTATTTATCTCCTGCCTGTCTTTGCAAACGCACAGGCGGCAAGGAAGAGATCCAGAAATTCGGGAAACCTTCTGGACTCTCATGTGTTTGGCACCCGCCCAGCCCCTTCAGGCTTCTGCCTCCTATGATTGCCAACCCTGCCTGTCCAAATTTGGGACACTTTCTGCCCCAGCCCTCACAAATATGGCTTGAACCTGGATCACACTGCCCTCTAGTGATGTCCACCATCACATCCCTAGCAGGGTCCCTGCAAACTGAAGTTCTCTACCCAGTGTGTACCCAGCCAGAAGATCTGGGCACGCAGAAAAAGCTGACTTCATTGTCAGTTCAGGCTGCACCTCCTTCCATGACTTGAGATGACTGATAACAAACATCTTGCCTACTTAAGGAAATGAAGGTTCAGAAGGTCTAAATGCTGGAAGCCTACCTGGACCTTGCCTGAAACCAGCTCTAGCTGCCTACTCTGGGAAATGCCCTGCCTGAAGCAGGGTCAACCATTTCCTCCTTCCTCATTCTCCAGCTGCATTTTCCACCACCCATTCCCCTCCAGGGCCCTTGTGATCATCCACCTGCTTCCTAGTTCCCCAAAGCCACTCATTCTGTTCTTGACACAGCCAACTCTCCTGTCTTTCGCCTGGCCACTGCGAAGGCCATCTTGGGGCAATCCTGGCTAACAAAACATCATTGCCACACACCCACACTCTGTCCAACACTCATTGTAGAGACTGTCTCCTCTAACACCCAGCACCTCCTGAGGCCTGCCTACTGTCTTCTTCTGTAGCCTTCCTGGATGTTTGTAGAGAGCAGGGAGTGGAAACAGCCAGGAAAGACAAAGCAACTAGGACTATTTCTACATCCAGACAGTATGAGCCTGATTCATAGGAAACACCTTAGCTCTGTAACCTCCCACACTTCCCCAGCTGACCTTGGGCTGACCCAGACACATCCTCCCATGTCCATATACTCATCTGGGAGGTCAATGTCGGGGTCTAGGGCCCTTCCCAAAGTCAAGGTCTACATCTACTCTGAAGGTAATCACCATCTCCACTCCCTTGGCCTTATTTCTTAGGTAGAAAATTGAGGGTCTGTCCAAGAGCCAGTCCACAATGCAGGAAGAACTTAGCTCAATTCCCAGCCTTCAAAACCTCACCTCCCACACCTTTACACTATTGCTGAACCTCCACACCCAGGCTCTTGGTTGTTCACTTCATTGAAATTCTCTCCTGGCTCTCTGCATCTCCCAGGATCAGTAGGTACCCCATAAAATAACTGGTCCTCATGACTTTTCCTTCATCAGGGCATCCCAAAGTGTGCCAGCTTTCCTGCTGGGATATCACTGTGTACTCGTAGGTGAACATGTCTGGCTCTGTCTCTCCCCACCACAAACATAACTGACTTGATTCCAGTTGGCTCCCAGGGTGCCCCCTCTGCACTGACCACCGAACCCCCTCCCAGTGTCACAGGCCAGAAGCCGTGGGGTGTGGCTAAAGTCTTCAACCCATAGTTCTCAAGGCTCATACTCTTTCCAGTCTGTTTTTTCTGTTGCTGAATTCTGGTGGAACCAATATGCCACCGTTCGCAGCATAAGGATGGGAGGCAGGCTCAATGCATGCCATACAGACTCACACGCCAGTGCACACAAGCTTGCATATGCACATGCAGAAGCACACGTACCAACAAGCCCTGTACCCAGGCATGTATATAGGGACAGGCAAGTTGTAGCAGGGCCTGCTGCTCTCTGCTGCCTCCCTTCCTCTTTATTCCCCCTCCTAATGCTGCCATTGCTGGGGGGGTCGGGGGGTGGAGATCCTTAGGAATCCTGGCCTCTTCTAGCCATTTCCAGAAGGGACTGTCCCCAGTAGCCCAGAGCACACAGAGTGTGAGGGTCTGACTTGGGGGTATAAAACCATGTAAGAAGCAGCTTATGAACTCTGATCTTTACTTCCTGATTCCACTCCAGCACAGGGCACACAGTAGATGCTCAAAGTAATTTGAGACAAGTCAGGGCACAGAGAAAGGGCCCAGAGAGACATGAGCAAAACAGAATACACAGTAGGTGCTTTCAAAAGCTCAGGACCAGCTCAAGCACATGGTAGGTGCCCTAGAAATGTTGGTTTAATAGCTAAAGCCACATCATATGAAAAACTTCCCCAATGAGCCTCTAGTCATCCCCAAATTAGATGACCCCTTAAAAGAGAGGTAGAAGAATATGACCCCTTTGAGGCCAGCAAGGGGCAAAGTGGGAGGGCCTTAGGCAGCTCCAGCTGGCTGTCCCTCCCCCCCCCCACTAAAGGAAGACACTATTTATAGCTCCCCCTTGGCCCAGCCCCCTCTCCCCTGCAAGGCAACAGTGTTTCCCTGACTCCAGGCCAGTGACAGACTGATGCCTCCTTAGAGCACCCCTAAACCCGGGGGGAAAATCCCAACATTCTCATATCCCCTCCAGTACCACCCTCACTGTGCCCAGGTCTTTTCCCATTCCCCCCACACTCCCCACACTGCCCCGTGCCTACCCTGCCCGCTGCTCCCCAGCCCCGGGTCGGTCAGAGATCTGCCTCCTAACGTGCCTCTGTCCATCCTGCCTCCGAACTGACCAGGGCCACCGCCCCCTGCGGCTTGGGAAGAGTAGGGCAACCCCGCCCTCTGACAGGCTCAGAGTACAGCAGCCCCGCCTCTCCAGCGGCCCTGGGCCCGCCCGCCAGGGCTGCTTAGTACTGTGAAGTTGACACTGGGGGCCTCATCCAGGCCCTCAGCCACACTCTAGCTGGCCAGTGTTGCCTCTTTACAGTCAGAGCTGCCTTTACTTTCCAAGAGCTGCCCTTGTCTTTCGGTGGAGTTGTCTACCCTGCCTGGAGTGCCTGCCCCATCCTCAGGCAGGCCTGTCCTCGCACCCAGGAAGTCAGTCCTAGCTCTAGGTCAGTAATGAAGTAGAAGATGTGAAATAGGCAAAACCTACTTCCAAACTAAGGGACCAAATCAGTTAAAAGAGGGTGATGAAGGAGGGTGGACAAAAGGACAGAAAAGCTAGGTGTGACTCAACCCTCCTGCGTCACTGCATGGGTGCACATGACTATGTGATTCTTGTCCATCTCATCCTTCAATCACTTGATGTTTATTGAGTGCCTCTTGCAGCCACAACCTGCATGTACACTATGTCACTCAGTGCTCCCAAGAAGCTTGGTGGCATCACTCTGCTTTACAGAACACCTTTGCTCAGGATAATTCAGTAAGGACTGGATAGAGTTAGATTGGAACTTGGCAGACTAAGCCGCCTCTCCCGAGTCTTTGTTTCCAAGAATCAAAACTGGGTATGTGAAAGACAATGCCCAGTTATGTGGTACGTGTGCTTCATGCAGCTTTGAGGGACAAGTACCCACTCCTCCCTGTTCCCTTACACGCCCCCCACACACACATCTTGCTCACATTCTCAGCTGTCAGAGCTTTGTTTGTAAAAGGCAGCACATAGAGACTCAGCCACACGTGCACAGACACCCAGAAGGTAAGACACAATGGTAAGACTTTCTGTGTACAGTCGTATCTATCTGGGATAGAAGCTGCCTCATGAAGCAGAACACATGTATGTAAACTTCAGCCAGCACTTCCATGTGTGGTGGCCTAGGAGGGGAAAAAAACCTGTAGGCCTTAGATGGACTGATCTCAGATGCAGTGTTTGTCTCTTGTTTTGAGGCTTCTGAATATAACATGATGGTTACCCCATGTAATAATGTCCAGATGACCTGTGACTGTGGAGCACCAAGACATGGCAATATTGTACTTGGCAGTGACCTTGTATGGTACTGTTCAAACTTTCCAAACATACTGTAAGTCTGTAGAGTACACAGGCATGGCAAGACATCAATATAACAATGCCCAAGGTGTCCAGAGCCCCTGACTGTGGTATACTCAGATGGGATAAGACACTATTTGGCAGTGGCCTATTACAGTGGTGTTCAAGTGCACTCTGCCCAGATGTAGTATGATCCAGCTCTGCTGCCATCCTCTATGTTTTTCCATCCAGACCAACCCCATCATTTTAACCCTGTCTCTCAGGCTTAGCGGCGGCCAACGTGAGCCAGGATGCGAGCATTGGTTGCAGCCTGCTCCCTGGAAGCCCTGGCCCGGGCCTGCTCCAGTAAAATCTGTAGGAGGCCAATGGGGACATCCAGTGAGAGGGCGATACGTGGTCCAAGGCGGGGTACAGGGCTTGAGTAGCTCCAGGCAGCTGAGGGACTTGTGGCAGTAGCTGAGGGGCTCTTCAAGGACACAGAGAAAGGAGTGGTCTGGGAATAGTTCTGAGGAAGAATCTGGAAGGCTGGGATAGGAGTCACTGAAACAACCATGACTCTGCCCAACATCAGGACCATCAGCACCAGCGGAGCCCACCTGGTCATCATGTGGTCAGGCTGTGAGGAGAAAACAGGCTCAGGGAAGGGGCTCTGTCAATATTGTTAACAGACAGAGACAGATGGCAAGAGCAGAGAGAGAGAGAGGAAGAGACAAAGAGACAGGGAGGCCAGGCCAGAAACAGAGAGAAAGTCAGTCAGAGACAAAGATGAAGGGATGAGAAGAAAGCTAGAGTAAATCAAGACAGAGCTAAACAGAGAAGGGGGGCCCCCAGACAGAAAGATTGAAAAGAGGAATGAGAGAAATCAAAAATACAAAAGAGGGGGGAAAGGAGAAGGAAAGGGAGATGAATGAGATGAAGGCAGAGCAAAATAGGAGACTGGAAGAAAAGACAGAGACAGAAACCATCCAGAGACAGCATGATGGAAACAAATTCAGAGTCAGAAAAACAGACAGCTGATTTAAGAAGAAGTAGTAGGAATGGGAATCCTTGAGGCAGAGAAGCAGCTGGAGACCTCAGACCCTCCCAGGTCCAGATATCTCCATGAACTTAAACCCAAGGACCACTCAACACCCAAGACCTCTCCCCACCCAACACCAGTCCTACCACTGACAGCTTCCTCTGGGGTAAGTTGCGATGTCTATGGCTGCTGGGGCTGGGATCAGTCGATGCTATCCTATGTTCTGACCCTCTGCTCCACTTCTGGGCCCATTTATCTCCACTAGCCCACTGTGGTGGGAGGTGGGTGTTTCCCGGCATGAGGCAGCCCCCACCTATGACTCATCCCCTCCTAGCAAGCAGTAAGGACACATCTTTATCTGCTTCTTTCTGAGGGTCACAGGAAAATGACCATGGCAGTGCAGCAGGACTTTGTATTCATGCAATACTGACTCCCCCAAGGGAAAATATGCCCCCCACAACATCACCCCCAAGAAGTCATAACAAGGACATTTTAAAACAGCAGCTTTAATGCCCCCCAGAATCAGCACCATGGCATCACAGGCTTGGGTCAAGGGGTGGGTCAGACGCAAGTCACATCCGCTCACTGCCCATAGCCACCCCCCATGGTGAATCATCCACCAGGGAGGCAGGAGCCACAATGGGGGTTTGTCCATAGGGACAAAGGCTAGACCCACAGGACCAAGTCACTGAAATAATGGACATGCACACACACACGCTCATGTGCACAGAGGTCTCTAGCACCAAGGGGAGGGACAGCAGGACCTGTTGAGATCCAGATTCTTCCAGGGGACACTAAACAGCAGCTCATCAACTCTGGGCAGCACCTGGGTGTGGCAGGTTAGAGACTGTCTTCAGCCCCTGACCTCCTTACACAGTATGCAGACCACAGAGAAACATGGCAAAACATCTTCTGGCGGGATAGGGAGTGGTGTGGGGACCAGAAGCCTAGCAGTAGGTGGGGCCCTGACTCAGAGAAGAACCCATACTCAGGTCTTTAAAGAAGGGAACATGGAGAGGGACCATAATGGGAATTCTACAGTTGAGGTTCTGTATTCAGTTCTTTCATCTGGGGGTCCATCCCAGGTCCCCCAGTCTGAGGGAGCTTCTCATTCATGACCTTGACCCTCAGGGCCCAGTTCCCTGCTGAGGTGGGGCTAAGCCTCTACCTGTTTTCTGGCTCTGGATCACGTGAGGCAGGCAGCGGCGTTCACAGGCTTCACGAGTTCCAAAACGGTTGGCATTCCCTCCACAGCCACCATAGACAAAGGGGTGACAGGCCTTTGTCCTGCCTGGCACAGCCCGATGGTACCAGCGCAGGGTGAAGGCAGTACAGGATCCCTCATCCAGAGGCAGGGAGCAGGGGTCTGGGTTCAATGGGGATCAGTGAGAGGCCAGCAGGGAATGGCTCCACCTGCCCTTACCTGAACCCCTCTAGGCACATCCCTCATTCTCACCATCACCATCCCAAGGAACCTCAAGGTCCTGGTATTCCTCCACAGAATACTCAGAGTACTCTGAGAACTCGTCATCTTCAGGGGGCACTTGGTCTACAGCACAGTAGGATATACCATGAGGGAGAAGCTGCTGGCCCTGGGGTAGTGTGGGCAGCACTAATCTCCCCCTGTGCGCATAACAGTATCCATGCATACGCCCTGCATGTGGACCCTATGTGCATGGCATGTGCTCTGCATGCATGAGCACCTAGATACATGTCCATGTCCCATCCATACATGCCCCAAGGTCCAGTCATTCTCACCTTCCTCTTCTACATGGGAGACACGGAGTACAGGCACTTGCCTGTGCATCTGGGTGCCAGCTGTGTCTGCAGCATAACTAGGGAGGGGTCCTGGAGCAAAGAACAAGTGATGACACGTGGGGTCATCATGAGCAGCCATACCAGCCACTCCCCAGGTGATAGACAGGGCAGGACCTAGGGTGAAGAAAGTTCTAGGCACAGAAAACTACTCACGTGATCCAGATGCAATAAACTGTCCCTGGCAGGCTGAAAAGGGCAGAAAGAGACAATGATGAAGGGAGAAAGAGACAAAAGAAAGATGGGAAGACACACACAAACACACACACATATACACACACACAGAGGGAGATTGAGATATACAGAGAAACAGCAGGAGAGACAGTGATAGAAGGACCAATAGAGAGAATGATAGGTAGAAGGACAGAGAGAAGGAGGCAAAGAGAGAGAGTGAAAAGAGGGAGAAAGAGGAAGAAAGATAGAGGAGAAGTAGACAGGAATGAGAAATTGGGAAAAGGTCAACAAAGGGCAAGAATAGAGGGAGACAGAAACAGGTAGGCATTGACAATAAATGCAGTTGCAAAAAAAAAAAAGAGGAAAAAGTACAAACAAAAGAATTAATCAAGGGGCTGAGGATGTGGCTCAAGCGGTAGCGCACTCGCCTGGCATGCGTGCGGCCCGGGTTCGATCCTCTGCACCACATACAAACAAAGATGTTGTGTCCGCCAAATACTAAATAATAAATATTAAAATTCTCTCTCTCTCAAAAAAAGAATTAATCAAAAAATTACAGAGCTGGGATTGTGGCTCCATGGTAGAGCGCTCGCCTCACACATGCGAGACCCTGGGTTCGATCCTCAGCACCACATAAAAATAAATAAGTGAAATAAAGGTATTGTGTCCAACTATAACTAAAAAAATAAATATTAAAAAAAAAATTACAAAGAGAAAGAGAAGAAGAGCAGAGCTTCACTCTGATGTTCCCAAATTCATCGCTGCCTGACTTGTGTCAGAGCCAGTGGGACCAGCTCTGCTCCCTCCTCTATTCCCTCCACACATGGCGACTCTGAAATCCTCAACTTTGTGGCTACCTACATCTGCTGTGCATCTCTCATCATTGAGAGAATTTCTGTCAGCATCCTGTCCTACAGTATGTGTGCCCTTCTGAATATCTATCCATCTCAATTCATCTCTTTGACACTTGCCTGCTGTAAGTATTGGGGACCTATCAGCCCCTATCTAGGTGTTCTGGGACAGAGTGGGACAGGGTACCAGAGACTCCAGGCTAGGCTCACTCACCACAATGCTGACTCATCTCCTGACGCACAAAGCCCCGAATGTCATCCTCCTGGAGACAAGACCACAAGGACCATGAAGAACCCATGAATCACAGAAGTGACATCAGGCACATAATGCAGGGGTCAAAAAGAGTCAGGAGCCTAGGGTCCAGGGGCTCAGGGTGTTAGGTGTGGAGACAGAGCCCTAGCCTACATAGACCCACACTTACTGTCAATGCAGCTTCTCCCTTCTCTCCACGGGGACCAATGGGCCCTGGCCGCCCCTATGTGCAACAGATAAGAATAGGCTGTGACCTCAGGTTCAGGGACATCAGAGTCACCCCAATCTTTTACCTTGAGCCTAGAAATCCCACTTACCTGCTCTCCTCTCTCACCAGGGGTCCCAGGAGCCCCAGGGGCCCCCACCACACTCTCTCCAGGGGGACCTCGCTCACCCTGCCAGACACAAGGATCAAGTGAGCAAGACCAGAGTTGGTAAGGGTCAGAAAACAGGCAAATTTGGGATCACAGCTTCAGATGTTGGGGCAAGGAGACTGGGGAATGGGTTGCAAAGTCAGAAGTCAGAGAGGTAGGAAAGGTAGGGAGGGTTAAAAATGTAGCTCAGTGGCAGGGTACTTGCCTAACATATGTGAAGCCCTGGATTCAATCCCTAGCACCACTCCCCCATACCAAAAACAAAAGGGTAGGGAGGTTCAGAGCTTAGGAGTCAGAGAATTCAGTAAAGAACTCTTACTTTCTGACCCTGAAGTCCTTCAGGGCCTTTGGGACCAACACCACCAGGTGGCCCTGGGGGACCACTAGCACCATCATTGCCCCTAGGACCTGGAAAGCCCACAATTCCTGGGGATCCCTGAAGAGAGATGGGATAGGGTCAGTAATAAAAATCTTGAAAGATGAACTCACTCCCAAAGAGCATGCTCTCCTCAGTTTACCATGATCTTGACCTTGACTTACCCGCTCTCCTTTCTCACCCTGGTCACCCTTGGGTCCTAACTGTCCATCAAAGCCTCGGTCACCCTGGGAACAGAAGAAACATAAGAGACACTTTGCCTTGACCTCCCTCAGATCCTGAACCTCCCCAAACCCCCATGAGTCCCCAGGCTCAATGCTTACAACCTTCCATGATCTGAGCAACTGTGACTACCAGCTGTGATCCCTATGACACCAAGCCCTCTATAACCCACCACCCTAATATACATGAACCTCTGCTCCATGTTTCACCTTTTCATCTTAACTCTCCACTGTGATCCTTGCCCATCCTGAAATCTCACGACTAGTCCCACATCATCCCCCAACACCTGAACCCTCTACAACCTTCCTTGACCTTAAACCCTCATCACCCTATTATAGCTTTCCTTGCCCCATCCTGACTCCCCATCATGACCACTCAAGAGATCCTGTACCTTGGGACCAATCAGGCCCTCTTTGCCAGGAGCCCCAGACTGGCCTGGCACACCAGGCTCCCCCTGGAGAAAAGAAAACAGAGCTTAGACCCTGGCCCAGCTGTATCCCACCTGGCCCACCTGGTCCTCCTCATTCTGGGTGTTCCTCATACTCACCATCTCTCCTTTTCGTCCTACCAGCCCTGGACGGCCAGGAAGACCAGCTTCTCCCTACAGGCATCAGGTTTGGGGTCAGTCTTGGGTACCAGATATCATGGTCCCCACACTTACTTTTACCTCTGTACCTTGTCTCCTTTCTCTCCATCAAGGCCACAGGCTCCCTTCATCCCCCGTTCACCCTAAGGGCAAAAAGCAGGTGAGAAAGAAACTTCCAGGTACTTCACCATATGAGCTCTTCACCCTAAAACTAACTCCCCCATCAGACTTTAGACATTCCAACATCTGACCTAACACCCAACATTCATCCCTGGATACCCTAACATCTGACCCCAGCTTCCTCACCCTCCAGTATCCAGCCTTCCTGACAAGAAAAACAGAACAAAACAAAAAACCTGATCCCCTTCCCACCTTGATGCCCCTGGGACCCATGAAGCCAGTATCTCCTTTGTCTCCTCGGAAACCAGGTGCTCCATCCTTTCCTGGGGCTCCCTGGGGTGGGGGTAAGGTGTAGACATGAGGTCAAAGGAAATTAATGAAGAGTTGCAGCAGGGAACACCATAAGGTGACAATCACCGTGGAGACCAGCAGCATGGGAAGGGAAAAGTTTGGCATGGGAAAGAGTCACTTTGGGCAGGCAAAACCATCATAGGGGATTACTATGGAGGCGGGTCCCCTGGGCAACAGGAAGACATCTTGAGACATTGGTCACCATAAGGTCAAAAGCTACATGAGTGGGACCACCATGGAGATGGAGTTCCCACAGGAGGTCTCTGTGGGAGTGGAAGCACTTACCGGGTCACCAGGGATCCCTGCAACACCAGGCTCACCCTACAGAAAACATTATGAGAGAAACCTTCAATGTGACCATTCTTCACGCTGGCCTATCTGTTGCAGCTACTTGGCACCCCTGAGGCCAGAAATCTTGTGTTAACACTCATGTGGCCAACAGCGAGGGAATGAGGGTCCCTACAACACTTTAGGAGACACCCAGGGACAGGTGTGCGTAATGTGTGTTTGACTCTAGTGCAAAGTTTACCTTAGGTCCTATGAGTCCTCGAGCTCCCATTGACCCAGTGGAGCCCTTGTCACCAGGCTCCCCCTTGGTGCCCTGTGGGAGGGACCAGGAGAGGAACAGTCAGGACCATACCAGGCTGGAGGATGACTGGTGCCTCCAAGTTAGGGCAAGGTTCCTCAATGTCGCTCCCACTGACCCCAGTGGCTCCCTCCCTTCTACCCAGGATTCAACAACTCATTTATTGCTCTGGGACCCCAGACTCCTGCCTTTCCCTCTTACGCTAGGCCCTTAATCCCATCTGAACTACCCTAATACCCAAGGAGCCCGCTTTTAGGAACTTCATAGAGCCACAGTCTACCCAACTTCTTACGTTAAGGCCCTAAAGCCCTCCCTCTATCACTATTCTCTCAAGTCACTACAACCTACAGAAGCCCTGCCCCTAATCTCCAGAAAGACCCCTCCTACACTCACAGACTCACTACGGAATCCCCATACCCTTCAGGGCTCCATATAGTATACCCACCCTCTTCCCTGTACCTTGTCACCAGGGTTTCCATTGTCTCCCCGAGGTCCTTTGTCACCATCTATGCCCTGAGGCCCTCGTTCACCCTGGGTCAGAAATTAGAAATGAGGGTCACAGCTTGAGACCTTTGAGCTTTTTATCGCCACAGG